CCTGCCACTGTTTCTTTTGTGAGCCATCTGACTCTGTAACTGCATTTTCTCTTTCTCTTTATCTTTCTCCGTGATCAATTGTTGAGAACAACTGAGGAAAGAGAGAGAGAGAGAGAGAGAGAGAGAGAGAGAGAGAGAGAGAGAGAGAGAGAGAGAGAGAGAGAGAGAGAGAGAGAGAGAGAGAGAGAGAGAGAGAGAGAGAGAGAGAGAGAGAGAGAGAGAGAGAGAGAGATTCATTGAACTGTAAAATGACGGAGAACAATGTGTGCGTATGTTGAGAGAGCGATAAAGTGAGGGAGTGAGAGGGAAGGAGAGGGAAGTTTGAGGGAGGCAAGGAGAGAGATAGATGAAGGGAGAGAGAGGAAGGGTTGGAGGGGAGGAGGGAGGGTTGTAGGAAGGGAGGGAGGGAGGGAGGGAGGGAGGAGAGGAGAGAGAGAGAGAGAGAGAGAGAGAGAGAGAGAGAGAGAGAGAGAGAGAGAGAGAGAGAGGAGAGGAGAGAGATAGAGAGAGAGAGAGATTCATTGAAAAGTACAATGACAGAGAACATGTGTGCGTATGTTGAGAGTAGCGAGAAAGTGAGGGAGTGAGAGGGAAGGAGAGGGAAGTTTGAGGGACGCAAGGAGATAGATGAAGGGGAGGAGAGGAAGGGTTGGAGGGGAGGAGGGAAGGAGGGAAGGTTAGAGAGAGAGAGAGAGAGAGAGATTCATTGAACTGTAAAATGACGGAGAACAATGTATGCGTATCCTGAGAGAGCAAGAGAGTGAGAGGAAAGGAGAGGGAAGTTTGAGGGGAGCAAGGAGAGAGATAGATGAAGGGAGAGAGAGGAAGGGTTGGAGGGAAGGAGGGAAGGTTGTAGGAAGGAAGGGAGAGAGGGAGGGAGGGAGGGAGGGAGGGAGGGAGGGAGGGAGGGAGGGAGGGAGGGAGGGAGGGAGGAAGGAAGGGAGGAAGGGAGGGAGAGAGAGAGAGAGAGAGAGAGAGAGAGAGAGAGAGAGAGAGAGAGAGAGAGAGAGAGAGAGAGAGAGAGAGAGAGAGAGAGAAAGAAAGAGAGTTGTTTGCAAGCGAGTATACGTTATTTGCACTTATAATGCATCATGCAGTTAGTGACCTTGACAAACTTGAACACACCCACTCTCACACATTTAAATGCTACAGCCTATTTAAGCAGTATATGCAATCACTCACTGTTTAACAACGTACATCACAAAGCGAATCTTTATTTAGGGGAAGACACCATCCTGTGATTTCTTCAGTGCTTATTAATAATAGGAAGAAAATCTAAAGGCATCTATTTATTCTTTCCTGTTTCAGAGATCTGACATGCATATATGTTGCAACTCCACAGGGTAAACGAAATGCACACTGCCCATAACTGCGATAATTCTTTTACCGTCTTTTGCATCTAAATACTGATGAAAATTTGAGACGTTTGTAACAATCCGAAACAAAAATAAATAATTACTTAATTACTTTAGTGGATTTGAGACGCAAAATTCGCTGTTTCTAACAATGTGATTTTGCTCTCTTCATTGCATCCAGGAAGATGGGTCACAACCGGCGTTTGTATAATGCCAACCAAGAAATATTTTAAGTAACTTCTTTATTTTCATTCTAATGACTGAATTTGGTACAAGCAAAACTAATGTAATTAATGTAAAACAATACAGATCTCAGGCTATGGCATAACTCGACTCTAATGTTAGCACTTTCTTTCTTTCAAAATGATTTATCTCAATCTACGCCAAAGGCAGCAAATACAGCAGATAAACTACAGCCCCGCCCACAAATGATACGTGTCACATAGCCGAGTGCTTTGGCTCATCTCTGTCGTAATCTTTTGAGGATGATCACTTTGCTCTCGTTGGGGACAACTATGTCTACCATGTTGAAATACTTCTGTTATTCCGTATAGGTAGATGTCTTATGAATATCTGCAGCTCCTTCACTTTTAAGGTTATTTCTATTAGTTTACATTACAGTCTTATCTGAATTACCTGAGTAGGCTAATACCAAATCCACCAAATGGAGGAAGGAGAGAAATCTACATTATAGAAGAACAAACCTCACTGAAAGGCTCATTTATATATATATATATTTTTTAATTAGCGGTCACATCCAAGGTCTATATAAGTACTTGTATAGGCCTTGCTCACATCGACACTGTTCTTATGATGCGACTTTCTTATTTGTATTCCTTCCAGGAATACCAAGCGCGGACGTCACTGTCTTATGTTATCGTTTTGTGTGCATAGTCAGACTCAAAAACTGCATTGCTGCTTCTTCTGTGCATTAGCTCATTGTGGTGCAATATACGAGAAAGCAATTACAACTAACGAGTTTTGTTAAGTTTTGCGAGGTGTGCATTGGGAACAGTTGCAACGATACTATTGCTATTACCAGTGTTGTAAATGAATAATGCACGTAGGCAAATGCATAAACTAAGTGTAATTAACATAATATTGTCACAACCACCTGTATGAATTAGTAACATTGAGAGAGAGAGAGAGAGAGAGAGAGAGAGAGAGAGAGATGGGAGTGAGGGAGGTAGGGAGAGAGGAAGGGAGGGAGGGAGGGAGGGAGGGGAGGAGGGAGGGAGAGGGAGAGGAAGAGGGAGAGGGAGATAGAGATGGATGGAGGGAGTGAGGGAGGTAGGGGGGGGAGGGAGGGAGAGGGAGAGGGAGAGGGAGAGGAAGAGGGAGAGAGAGAGAGAGATGGATGGAGGGAGTGAGGGAGGTAGGGAGAGAGGAAGGGAGGGAGGGAGGGAGGGGAGAGAGAGAGAGAGAGAGAGAGAGAGAGAGAGAGAGAGAGAGAGAGAGAGAGAGAGAGAGAGAGAGAGAGAGAGAGAGAGAGAGAGAGAGAGAGAGATTACCATTCATGAGACGAAAGAAACCCCAGCCATGATATGACCCTTACAAACAAACCAGACAAAGTCGTCTTATGACGAAATGACTGAGGCAACAAAGAAGTCCTGTCACACAAAAGGACACATTAGTACTCCTGTTCGACAAATTATGTCATTTCCTATCCATCCGCTCTTGCCAGACCGGTCTCATTATTACCTGAGAAAACAGTGTGGAAGGTTTGCTTTTTTGCTCTGAAGCTTTGGCTTTTTATTTATTTTTGAGGTAACACGAAAGAATCAAGTAAGTGTAAACTTTAGATATATCGATTTTTTTTTCTATACAGCTCATTTCCCCAACAAACCACATAACCTTTACACAGATGATTTCAAGAGAATGTTGGTCCTCAACTCATTTTCACGGTGTACACTACTGATAACTTACTAACGTCATGTTTCTTGGTTTAGAAGCAGTAACCAGCTGACTGACGCTTTATTGTTAGACCCATCGGTTTACCCCTCGGCCACTAATCCGTTTATTAATTTATTTACTTTATAAGCAATCTCTTGCAAACGTTATTCTTCTGGAATAGCGGTGTTGATCTGGCACAGCGAAATGGAAGTGGTGAAATGTACGCTGTTGTATCCTGGCCGGACATTATAGAATACTCTACCTCAGAATACAAGGTACTGTTATAAAGTAATATACTCCAGGAAAAAAAAAAGGTATCAGCATAAACTAGAATACAAACAAGGTATCATTTTAAAGGACTAACTATACTGCTGAAAAAATTGATTTTCTATACCTATGAAACAAAGTGGTATAATAAAGGTTTTGTTTGTTTAAGTAGTTTCAGTGAAAGTGAAAAGTTCGCTCTTGCCTCGATCGATGACTCCCAGCACTGACGGTACAAAACCTTGTATACCTGAGGGACCGTATTTCATAATGTCCGGCCAGGACATCTAGCTATGCTTGATCAACACCGCTATTCCAGAAGAATAACATTCCACAATAGTTCGTTTATGAAATAAATAAATAGATGGATTAGTTGCCGAGGGGTAATCCGTTGGGTCTCCTCAATCAAGGCGAATTACCAGCGTCACTCAGAACTTGTACCCAGCCCGAATTACTGCCGATAAGGTGGATTATGTGGAGATTATTTTGTATTTTGATTGAACTGACACTGAAAATTATGACTAGACTAGTAGGGAAAATGCTCGCTTCCTACTGCATTTGCTATACTAATGAGGTCCAGTTTCAGGCAATTTAACTTGACGCGTCGAAAAACATGTTAGTCATAGAAAATACTTATTTCCAAAGTCATACTCATGTTCTTATCGCTCATATATATATATATATATATATATATATATATATATATATATATATATATATATATATATATATATATATATATATATGTGTGTGTGTATATGCGTGCATGTATGTATGTATATATATGTGTGTGTATATATATATATATATATATATATATATATATATATATATATATATATATATATATATATATATATATATATACTTTTTTGTTTTGTCAGCAACAAACACCAGGTGGTTATGACGGTCGGACCATCACTGGCTCGAAATTTGCATTCGAATTACACAAATTCGTAATGTGTAATGTTTCCTTAATAACCACCGTCACGCAGCCAAATTAACCTGCTCGTGGCATTTAGAAAAGCATGCACAGACGCGGCAAATATCTTGGGAGTGGGCCCCTTCATTCCACCCTTGTCCCATACCCTTAGGCTAAATGAATTCCCTTCCTAGGCATAACGGAAAGTTGTGGTAATAGGTTCCACTGGTCGATTGGGGGCGAGTGTGACATTTGAACACTCAGTTATTATAAATGATTGTTATGTACGTCTGGCTACTGTTTGCTGTCCTTGGCAACCAAGGGTTTGACTGTACTGTGCATTATGTTATGCACGTGTTCGAAACTTCGCTAAAAATGCAGTTCGTGTCTATATAAAGAATTATTTCCAAGCTCTTACATGGCAGCCTGACACGAAACAAAGTAACAGGCTGCTCAGATATGCAGACTCATGTAAGCAAAGCATAACAACACATTACAGATACCCAAATCGATTGCCAGACGGCGCCCGCGTCACGGCACGTGACCGAACGTTTGTCATTGGGTCGCTTAAAAATCGAAAATAACTCTGTCATCTTGGAAAGTATTGACTTATTCGCTTTATATCGAATTGTCCATTGAGAACTTGTGACTCCTTTGTAAAAGGTGTCTTTTAGCAAACCCTCCAAGGCGTAGAGACGCAATGCGCCCATTAGATCCCAAATAGGGGCTTCGTAGCATCCCGAGGCAGGATTCCGCCGGGAGCGAATGGTTCCCAGGGATGAGCGCGGTGGCGGAGGCCGAGGCGACGGACGCGTGACCACATCGCCTTCTTTTAGCCCTGGCCGCTCCAGGTAGGTCGCTTTCTGGATTCTTTGGTAGACGAAAGGCTCTAGGTGTACTGGAGAGCTTATTATGAATGTATGAGGAAGTAACACAAGGGGAGGAAGTTTTTATAAGAGGACGAACGAAAGTAGCGAGTTCGAAGAGTGGGAGTTGTTTAATTATGTACCGTTATTTGTTTGGTTAGTGTAGGCCTATCCCTCTGGGCGGTGGTGTCCCAGCTCTCCAGAGGCAGTCGGGCGGTTGCTTTGGGAGGAGGAAGGCCAAGGACGAGGAGGTGGTGAAGGTTAATTGCAGTACTAAAATACATTTAAAAGTTCTCTTGACGTTTTAGAGACTTGCATTCCTGTTTTGTTTTGATTTTCGTTAAACTTAATTATTATTATTATTATTTTTTGCGGTATAAGGTTATTTATTGGCTGCAGTAAAACATCAAATCCCCATAAGTTATATTCTTACAAAATTGTTCCAAGGTGAACATTGTCTGGTTCCCATTGGTGAGTCTGTTAATTGATTTCTGCAAGAACAGAGTGGTGTATGTTTGTTTGCTTCTCCCACAGCATTTGGTGGTACCCAATTTCATATCTGATTGTTCCGTGGAGATCAGTTTTTTATGTTTATTATAAGTTGTTTATATCTCAGTAACTTTATGTGGTCTTATTCCAGAGGATTACTCGGTCAATATGTAGTATAAGGTAGTGGCAGAGTTGGGTAATAAAATCTACATGAAATGATAGAACAATACAAACCAAGACAAAGTTCTTCTACGCCAGTGTGTGTGCAAATGCTTCCCAAGGCTGCTATATGTAAAAGAAAAGAGGGGATCCCCTAATTTTGGCGACATCGCTTATCTTATTTACATTGCGAGGGTGAATTCTAGACGCATGTACTGCCACGGGGGCCCAAGGGGCAGAGCCCCCTGGCTAGGGAATATATACCACTGTGTTTGGTTAGGTTGGGTGTTGGGTTAGGATGTTTGGACAATATGTAGTATAAGGTAGTGGCAGAGTTGGGTAATAAAACCCTACATGAAATGATAGAACAATACAAACCCAAGACAAAGTTCTTCTATGGCAATATGTGTACAAATGCTTCCCAAGGGTGCTATATATAAAAGAAAAGGGAAGATCCCCCAATTTTGGGCTAGTCACTCATTTTGTCTACATTGCGAGGGTGAATTCTAGACGCATGTACTACCATGGGGGTTCAGGGAATATGTACCACTGTGTTAGGTTAGGTTGGGTGTTGGGTTAGGACATTTTGTTTAACCCATTGACGCAGGGTGTACAAAACAAAAAATAACTCTACGCTCTAGCAAACAAAGGCGGTGCCGACTTTGAGCGCGTGAGTAGGGGACATCAACCCAAATCACTGGCTCGCCGCGCTTTGGCACGCCACCGCGGCGTACAGCCGCACACCAGCTTTCGAGCAGTTTGTTTACACGCCGATCGGCATCACCCGGCACCAAGGGGTTAACAACCATAATTTCCCTGATATACTTCATGCCCTTCCCTGCCATCAGGACTATCAAATGGAGATGGTGATCATATCTCCTCAACGATTCATTTGCACAAGGAACAATGCCTAGAATTGTTGAAAGCAGTGGATTTCATGCAGAAAAATATCAAAATTGTTTTGAAAGTAACCCACTACCCTCTTCTACATACTAACCAGGGTATCTTCTCTTTTATGTATAGCAGCCTTGGGAAGCATTTGCACACACATTGCCATAGAAGAATTTTGTCTTGGGTTTGTATTGCTCTATCATTTCATGTAGGTTTTATTACCCAACTCTGCCACTACCTTATACTACATATTGACCGGACGTTTTCTTTAACAACCATGGGGGTCCTGTTTTACTCCATAATTTCCCTGATATACTTCATGCCCTCCCCTGCCATCAGGACTATCAAATCAAGATTGTTGATGGAGATGATCATATCTCCTCAACGATTCATTTGCACAAGGAACAATGCCTAGAATTGTTGAAAGCAGTGGATTTCATGCAGAAAAATATCAAAATGTTATCATATCTCCTCAACGATTCATTTGCACAAGGAACAATGCCTAGAATTGTTGAAAGCAGTGGATTTCATGCAGAAAAATATCAAAATTGTTTTGAAAGTAACCCACTACCCTCTTCTACATACTAACCAGGGTATCTTCTCTTTTATGTATAGCAGCCTTGGGAAGCATTTGCACACACATTGCCATAGAAGAACTTTGTCTTGGGTTTGTATTGCTCTATCATTTCATGTAGGTTTTATTACCCAACTCAGCCACTACCTTATACTACATACTACATTGACTGGACGTTTTTTTTAACAACCATGGGGGTCCTGTTTTACTCCATAATTTCCCTGATATACTTCATGCCCTCCCCTGCTATCTGGAATGTCAAATCAAAATGTCGATGGAGATGGTGATCATATCTCCTCAACAATTTGTTGAAAGCAATGGATTTCATGCTGAAAAATATCAAAATTGTTTTGAAAGTAACCCACTACCCTCTTCTACTTATTGACCGATTAATGTTACCAAGAACAAAGTACAGGGATAGATGGAAATGGACTCTGCCATCTTATAGACCATAAAAAGTAGGGGAATAAACAACACAGGTACAACTGTAGTGGCCTCATATTTACAGTGAAATGGTGAAAATATCCGCTGCACATCACTGCTCAGAGACCAAGTCCATAACACCCTCACACAGTCAGAGTTCTTAATGTCAAGTTTTCTATAAGTTAGCACAAGGTGCTAACCAGGGAGGGTACAGGTGGGGTTTACACCCCCTGTCTAGGGAATAAATAGAGGTAGGAAAATTTAGGTTTGTATTTTGGGTTCGGATGTTACCAAGGTTTTAGGACTTCTTCTCTGGAGGTTGAGTCAATCTCAGTAACAAATACCATATAAAGTAAACAGTGCATGGCTTGTAAGCCAAGTGCAGGCAAACATTCGTGTGTGGTGACAAGACTCTGTCCCCCTTTCAGTGTTATTTTCTCTTTCTACATAAGCATTTTTTAGTCTTGGGGGATCTGATAGGGAATTGGGGAATGGGGAGGGATATGGCTAATTTCATTCATAATAAGTATTATAAAGAGTAAAAGTTGTAAAAATAAACAACCCAAACTAAGAGTTGCATTTTGTAGAAAAAAAGTGGAAAATAGAAAATTTTAAGCTAAATTTCAGCCACATAAGATTTGACACAATGTTGTGCAAGTGAACCTCATCCTTAAAGCACAAACTACCATAAAGATTGCAAAGGGAACCAAAAACCTTTCTAACCTGTGGCTCAAAGCCTCTGGATTGCTCCAATTACCATGTTTCCCTGTTTGGGCCTTTGCCTCTGCACCCCCTCCCAATCCCCACCAGCTATACATGTTACAAATTGGGTTTACCTTATGGCTTGAGTGAGAGGGGCTGGTAAGTGATGAACCTCTGGTGTATTTCTGCAGCTGGAACACAATTTTTGTTGTTCGCGGAATTTAGTGTTATCCTCGAGATCAAAACAATTTCAGTAAGAGATCATTTTCACCAGAAAGTTAGGAAAGAAATAGCACTGTAACAAAATTCACCTCTCACATTTGCTGTTAGATGGCTCTACAAACACAAGTGTAAATGTAAGAAGCATTTCTAATTTTTAAAATGTGTATATGGTAATGTAGAACACATCATATATATAAGAAATGAGTATTTAATAAATAAATATTTATATATAATTTTATGTAAATCAAGATACAGAAATACATTAAAAGTATAGTGTATTTCTAAGAGATTGCAAATGATTGGCTGTGATGTCACGAGCTACACGTGCCAAAACAGTTTATATTGGGTTGCCGCGCAGCTCAGTTGTTCATTGCGAGGTGAAAGGGGCTGGACTTAATCACTAAAAGTGCATGGGGTTCCACATTGCATTTGTCACAACCCATTTTCTTCATTTCTGTCATTAATTTTTGCCTTCGTAGAACATGTTATATGTCAGTGAATATAGTTTTTACCTTTATCTTTTTGGCAGTATCCCAAGATTTTCCCTATCTTAGGACAGTCGTTATAGTAACATATGTCCATAGCTCAATACAAGAATAATAACAATAAACAACATTTTATCATTTGTGTTATTTTCTTAATATTCAGTTTTCTCTAATACACTGAATTAGAGAAAACTGAATAGGAATTGGATCCTGAGCATAGAACAAGAGTTGTCCAAGGAGCCAGCACTCTTCCAGTCATGGGTCACGGACAGTACATTCCACACTCGTTTATCAATGGAAATAATGCAAAAGCCCCATCCCAAACACTGCAAATAAAGGTAAAATATTGTGGAAAGTGCCACTCTTAACTTAAGTCCACTTGGCGCTCCCACATTTCAGCTCTTATCTTGCCATGCTTATGAAGATGAAGATGTTTGCTTGGGAGTGTTGGGGGGGAAGAGCCCCCATCAACCTTCCCCATGGCCAGGGCCCAAAGAGCCCAGTCATGGAAACTTTGATTGTTTAATCAAATTTTGTGGTGGATTCGGGAACTTAGTCTCTGCTGAGTGCATCTTTACTGTAAAAAGATTATCCTTTATTTATTTGTTTTTTTCTCCTGTCCCCTACAATTTTGAGGGACACATCAGGAATCAAGGGTTGGGGAATTGCACAGAGCTACCTAAGCCAAACAACAACCAACAGTCTAAGGTATCCTGTAGGGAACGGGCAGATACGGGTGGGGGGATATAGGTGAAAATGCTAATAAGAGTTATTGTAAAAAGTTGGTAATTTTATAAGTTTCACACAGCTATCCAATCTTGCAATTATTATTCCTTCCTTCAATTATCAACACTGCAATTTGTGTATATCTTATTATTTTCTATTGCAAATGAAAGTATTGATATTATTTATGAAGTGACTAGGCCCCCATTATTCCAGACACCCCTGGGAAATCCACAGACATCACCCTATGAACCCCCAGACCCACACCTGTTTGCCGTGGACTTACCCTCTCTGCAGTGACCCATTTTCTTAATTTC